ACCTGAGCTATACAGGGTAAGGATGCTGTGGAAGTCCTCCATACCTGAGCTATACAGGGTAAGGATGCTGTGGAAGTCCTCCATTCCTGAGCTATACAGGGTAAGGATGCTGTGGAAGTCCTCCATTCCCGAGCTATACAGGGTAAGGATGCTGTGGAAGTCCTCCATTCCCGAGCTATACAGGGTAAGGATGCTGTGGAAGTCCTCCATTCCTGAGCTATACAGGGTAAGGATGCTGTGGAAGTCCTCCATTCCTGAGCTATACAGGGTAAGGATGCTGTGGAAGTCCTCCATTCCTGAGCTATACAGGGTAAGGATGCTGTGGAAGTCCTCCATACCTGAGCTATACAGGGTAAGGATGCTGTGGAAGTCCTCCATACCTGAGCTATACAGGGTAATGATGCTGTGGAAGTCCTCCATTCCTGAGCTATACAGGGTAAGGATGCTGTGGAAGTCCTCCATACCTGAGCTATACAGGGTAAGGATGCTGTGGAAGTCCTCCATACCTGAGCTATACAGGGTAAGGATGCCGTGGAAGTCCTCCATTCCTGAGCTATACAGGGTAAGGATGCTGTGGAAGTCCTCCATTCCTGAGCTATACAGGGTAAGGATGCTGTGGAAGTCCTCCATACCTGAGCTATACAGGGTAAGGATGCTGTGGAAGTCCTCCATTCCTGAGCTATACAGGGTAAGGATGCTGTGGAAGTCCTCCATTCCTGAGCTACACAGGGTAAGGATGCTGTGGAAGTCCTCCATACCTGAGCTATACAGGGTAAGGATGCTGTGGAAGTCCTCCATTCCTGAGCTATACAGGGCAAGGATGCTGTGGAAGTCCTCCATTCCTGAGCTATACAGGGTAAGGATGCTGTGGAAGTCCTCTATACCTGAGCTATACAGGGTAAGGATGCTGTGGAAGTCCTCCATACCTGAGCTATACAGGGTAAGGATGCTGTGGAAGTCCTCCATAACTGAGCTATACAGGGTAAGGATGCTGTGGAAGTCCTCCATACCTGAGCTATACAGGGTAAGGATGCTGTGGAAGTCCTCCATTCCTGAGCTATACAGGGTAAGGATGCCAAGACCCTGTTTCTTTCACTAAGGGTGGCCATTTAGCTGCTTTGTGTCAACGTTTAAGACTTTGCCTAGAGAGGTGAACATTTTAAAAGCATTGCAGAAATTCAGTCTTCAACAAGTGATACAGTGCCTTGCAAATGTATTCATCCCCCTTGGCGTTTTTCCTATTTTGTGGCATTACAACCTGTACTTTAAATGGATTTTTATTTGGATGTAATGTAATGGACAAAATAGTCTCAAACAATAGAAAAAAATAAATAACGGAAAGGTGGTGCGTGCATATGTATTCACCCCGTTTGCTATGAAGCCCCTAAATAAGATCTGGTGCAACCAATTACCTTCAGAAGTCACATAATTAGTTAAATAAAGTCCACCTGTGTGCAATCTAAGTGTCACATGATCTGTCACATGATCTCAGTATATATACACATGTTCTGAAAGGCCCCAGAGTCTGCAACACCACTAAACGAAGGGCACCACCAAGCAAGCGGCACCATGAAGACCAAGGAGCTCTCCAAACAGGTCAGGGACAAAGTTGTGGAGAATTTTAATTCCAGGTTGTAAGGCAACAAAATTAGGAAAAATGCCAAGGGGGGTGAATACTTTCGCAAGCCACTCAGTCAAAAAACGTCAAACTTATTAACAGAAGAAAAGGGCAGGCTTTATTAAATATGTTTCCCCTCCCCTGACCTGCTGGCTAACTCAGTATAAATATGTTTCCCCTGACCTATTGGCTAACTCAGTATAAATATGTTTCCCCTGACCTGCTGGCTAACGCAGTATAAATAATTTTCCCCTAACCTGCTGGCTAACTCAGTATAAATACATTTCCCCTGACCTGCTAGCTAACTCAGTATAAATATGTTTCCCCTGACCTGCTGGCTAACTCAGTATAAATATGTTTCCCCTGACCTGCTGGCTAACTCAGTATAAATATGTTTCCCCTGACCTGCTGGCTAACTCAGTATAAATACATTTCCCCTGACCTGCTGGCTAACGCAGTATGAATATGTTTTCCCTGACCTGCTGGCTAACGCAGTATGAATATGTTTTCCCTGACCTGCTGGCTAACGCAGTATGAATATGTTTCGCTGGCTAACTTAGTATAAATATGCTTCCCCTGACCTGCTGCATAACTCAGTATAAATACATTCCCCCTGACTCGCTGGCTAACTCAGTATAAATACGTTTCTCCTGACATGCTGGCTAACTCAGTATATATACACACGTTTCCCCTGACCTGCTAGCTAACTAAGTATAAATGCGTTTCCCCTGACCTGCTAGCTAACTAAGTATAAATATGTTTCCCCTGACCCGCTGGCTAACTCAGTATAAATATGTTTCCCCTGACCTGCTGGCTAACTCAGTATAAATGTGTTTCCCCTGACCTGCTAGCTAACTCAGTATACATTTGTTTCCCCTGACCTGCTGGCTAACTCGGTATAAATAATTTTTCCCTGACCTGCTGGCTAACTCAGTATAAATAATTTTCCCCTAACCTGCTGGCTAACTCAGTATAAATATGTTTCCCCTGACTCGCTGGCTAACTCAGTATAAATACATTTCCCCTGACCCGCTGGCTAACTCAGTAGAAATACGTTTCTCCTGACCCGCTGGCTAACTCAGTATAAATGTGTTTCCCCTGACCTGCTGGCTAACTCAGTATACATTTGTTTCCCCTGACCTGCTAGCTAACTCAGTATAAATAATTTTCCCCTGACCCGCTGGCTAACTCAGTATAAATATGTTTCCCCTGACCTGCTGGCTAACTCAGTATAAATAATTTTCCCCTGACCTGCTAGCTAACTAAGTATAAATAATTTTCCCCTGACCTGCTAGCTAACTAAGTATAAATAATTTTCCCCTGACCTGCTGGCTAACTCAGTATAAATATGTTTCCCCTGACTCGCTGGCTAACTCAGTATAAATACATTTCCCCTGACCTGCTGGCTAACTCAGTATAAATAATTTTCCCCTGACCTGCTGGCTAACTCAGTATACATTTGTTTCCCCTGACCTGCTAGCTAACTCAGTATAAATAATTTTCCCCTGACCCGCTGGCTAACTCAGTATAAATATGTTTCCCCTGACCTGCTAGCTAACTCAGTATAAATACATTTCCCCTGACCCGCTGGCTAACTCAGTATAAATACGTTTCCCCTGACCTGCTGGCTAACTCAGTATAAATACATTTCCCCTGACCCGCTGGCTAACTCAGTATAAATACGTTTCCCCTGACCTGCTGGCTAACTCAGTATAAATACATTTCCCCTGACCCGCTGGCTAACTCAGTATAAATACGTTTCCCCTGACCTGCTGGCTAACTCAGTATAAATACATTTCCCCTGACCCGCTGGCTAACTCAGTATAAATACGTTTCCCCTGACCTGCTGGCTAACTCAGTATATATACGTTTCCCCTGACCTGCTAGCTAACTCAGTATAAATGTGTTTCCCCTGACCTGCTAGCTAACTCAGTATAAATGTGTTTCCCCTGACCTGCTGGCTAACTCAGTATAAATACGTTCCCCCTGACCTGCTGGCTAACTCGGTATACATTTGTTTCCCCTGACCTGCTGGCTAACTCAGTATAAATATGTTTCCCCTGACTCAGTGTAGAATCATCTAATATATCCCGAGCAGACACGGTTTGTTGTATTTATTCCCACCTATTGATTTCTCAGCGCTCTGGCGCTGCATCTGTAAAGACTTCAAGTGGACATATGTATCAAGCTACTGCACAATACTCAATTCTATCAATACATTCCAAAACAGCCGAATCTAAAACAGGCCGCTTGCTGAGCTGAAACAGAAAAATGCTTTGTAATTGATATCTTATGTGGAGGTATTACAGAGTGCAATAGAGTGCAATTCTTGATTTCAGTGGCAGTTATCTTCAGTGACAATTATCCCTCTCCCTCTCCCCCTCCCCACAAACACACACTCGCACACAGGCAGGCATGCACACATGCATAGACACATACATACACACACACAAACGCACACAAACACACCTGCCAAAGGCAAGACTAAATCTAAACCCACAAAGGGGTTATTAATTACCTGACTTTTAACATTTCACTATTGATTCCCTAAAGTTGATTAACTATATGTACTGTGTGTGATTGCGCAAGTCTGTGTTCATTATGAGCAAAGCTGGATTTACTTATTCACCGTCACAAAAACAGAATTTCAGAACCCTAAATTGAAGTAAGAACAATGTCAACAATGCTTACACTAGCAGGATTCTAGCACTGAGCCACATGATGCATGATACCATACTAAACTAACATTATTACCAATGATTATCAGGTTTTCAATAGGAAGCTGAACCAACCCTTAAAAAGTCAATTCCTCCACTTTTCAACCTTGTATTCATTATATCCAGCACCATACCAGTGTCTGCATATGTGAAAATGGCGCGTTTGCTGTATGATCTGTGGTTAAGAAGATAAGAAGACTACTAACTACAACATGTGAGCAACAAGAGAGCGTTGAGTAAAAGGGGACGTCTCAAGGACTTCCAAGGAGTTCTGAGTTCCAAATAGTTCTAAGGACTTCCAAGGAGTTCTAATGAGTTACAAATAGTTCCATGGAGTTCCATGGAGTTCCATGGAGTTCCATGGAGTTGCAAGTTGTTGCAAGTTTTTGCAAGTTGTTGCAAGTTGTTGCAAGTTGCTCTAATGAGTTCTCATGAGTTCTAGTGAGTTCTAGTGAGTTCTAGTGAGTTCTAGTGAGTTCTAGTGAGTTCTAGTGAGTTCTAATGAGTTCTAATGAGTTCCAAATAGTTCTGAGTTCCAAGGAATTCCATGGAGTTCTAAGGAGTTCCAAAGAATTCTAAGTATTCTGCACATGTATTATATTTTGTCTTTCTAATAACACTCTATTGTAAGACATTTTTTAAACTACAACTCAACTCCCCACTACTCACCTGTAGTGACGGAAGATTTCCTCCTCCACATCTGTGATGAAATGGCACTTGGTACATGACTGCTCCCCGTGAGGGCCCTTGGGCGCCGAGTTCCTACCCATTTCGGCTCCCTCCTGCTCGGCCTTGACCTCAAGCACGCCGTGGGTGGCATGGGCGCTGTCGTAGTGCAGCAGAAGCAGGTCGATGTCGCTGGTGGCGTAGGGACACTGGTCACACAAGTGTGTGACGCTGGGCCTGGGAGATGGGGGGCTGCCCTGGGGGGACAGCTGGAGGAGGGCGCAGTGGGAGCATGCGTTCTTTCTGCAAGCAAACGGGTAGGAGATTTCCCCCAGGTGCTTCTCGGGGCTGCAGAGGCCGCGTGGGCAGAATGGACAGTGCTTGATGGTGCACTTGTGGATGCTGTGGGCCTGCTGGTAGTGGCGGAGCAGCGGTGCCACCACGATCACCTCAGGCCCGTGGTTCATGGAGTAGCGGAAGTCGCAGAACTGGCAGTTGTAGCTGGTCACCACTGTCTCCGGGTCCGTTGCGCCCATCGAGCCACTCATTCCTGTCTTGTCTTTCCTCCGGCTGTGGGGGGTCAGTCCTCGTTCGGGGTCTCTCTCTCCGTCCCTGGCTTTGCTACTCCCTCGCTCCCTCTCGGCTGGGCTGCCCTCCCTGGTCCCCCCTCCTCCTCCTCCTCCTCCTCCTCCAGGCTGGTTGTGCCTCTTTTCATAGTGCTCCAGGAGGCGTTGTGAGCTGGGCGACTCACAGCTGAAGCTGCAGTACTTACACCAGTAATAGGCCACCGCTGTGGCCCCGCCGTCGGACCCCGTCCAGCCAGGCGAGTCTGTGGCGTGAACGGGGACGGAGTAACCAGCCACCGAGTCGTCCTCCGCACGGACCGCCACCCGGTCAGCCCACTTTCCCGGTTCCGCCGCCTCCACGCTACCGCCCCGTGTCACACAGTTCCCCTTCCTTTCCGAGGGCTTGTCGTCGTTCGGCAGCGGCGGGAGGTGGGACTTCATCTTGTTGGGGTGGGCAGAAAGGAAGTGTTTCTCCAGCTCCACTGAGGAGCTGCCCATGTAGGTGAAGTTACAGAACTTGCAGCGGAAGTACTTGGTGTTTCCCTGACAGTCCGGAGTCTTCCTCCCGATGCCGATGAAGGTATCTCCCAGCGTCACCTGGGGCACAATGAGGAAAGAAACTTCTGTAACTCATTTTGATTAAGCATTTCACTTGAATGTATTTTCTTTCTTCCCCTGATTTACTTTTATCTTATGTTTTATTTTGTGTTATTTGCAACAATTTTGTAAAAAAAATATATATATATATTTGGAAGAGGAAGAACAAGATCCATGCACTTTTCATTTTGCCTTTTAATTCGGATCATATTGTTTTCTATATTTTCTTGTCTGTGTATCTATATATATGTGTGTGTGTGTGTGTGTGTGTATATACAGTGGGGAGAACAAGTATTTGATACACTGCCGATTTTGCAGGTTTTCCTACTTACAAAGCATGTAGAGGTCTGTAATTTTTATCATAGGTACACTTCAACTGTGAGAGACGGAATCTAAAACAAAAATCCAGAAAATCACATTGTATGATTTTTAAGTAATTAATTTGCATTTTATTGCATGACATAAGTATTTGATCACCTACCAACCAGTAAGAATTCTGGCTCTCACAGACCTGTTAGTTTTTCTTTAAGAAGCCTTCCTGTTCTCCACTCATTACCTGTATTAACTGCACCTGTTTGAACTTGTTACCTGTATAAAAGACACCTGTCCACACACTCAATCAAACAGACTCCAACCTCTCCACAATTGTAGACCTGCACAAGGCTGGGATGGCCTACAGGACAATAGGCAAGCAGCTTGGTGAGAAGGCAACAACTGTTGGCGCAATTATTAGAAAATGGAAGAAGTTCAAGATGACGGTCAATCACCCTCAGTCTGGGGCTCCATGCAAGATCTCACCTCGTGGGGCATCAATGGTCATGAGGAAGGTGAGGGATCAGCCCAGAACTACACGGCAGGACCTGGTCAATGACCTGAAGAGAGCTGGGACCACAGTCTCAAAGAAAACCATTAGTAACACACTACGCCGTCATGGATTAAAATCCTGCAGCGCACGCAAGGTCCCCCTGCTCAAGCCAGTGCATGTCCAGGCCCGTCTGAAGTTTGCCAATGACCATCTGGATGATCCAGAGGAGGAATGGGAGAAGGTCATGTGGTCTGATGAGACAAAAAAATAGCTTTTTGGTCTAAACTCCACTCGCCATGTTTGGAGGAAGAAGAAGGATGAGTATAACCCCAAGAACACCATCCCAACCGTGAAGCATGGAGGTGGAAACATCATTCTTTGGGGATGCTTTTCTGCAAAGGGGACAGGACGACTGCACCGTATTGAGGGGAGGATGGATGGGGCCATGTATCGCGAGATCTTGGCCAACAACCTCCTTCCCTCAGCAAGAGCATTGAAGATGGGTCGTGGCTGGGTCTTCCAGCATGACAACGACCCGAAACACACAGCCAGGGCAACTAAGGAGTGGCTCCGTAAGAAGCATCTCAAGGTCCTGGAGTGGCCTAGCCAGTCTCCAGACCTGAACCCAATAGAAAATCTTTGGAGGGAGCTGAAAGTCTGTATTGCCCAGCGACAGCCCCGAAACCTGAAGGATCTGGAGAAGGTCTGTATGGAGGAGTGGGCCAAAATCCCTGCTGCAGTGTGTGCAAACCTGGTCAAGACCTACAGGAAACGTATGATCTCTGTAATTGCAAACAAAGGTTTCTGTACCAAATATTAAGTTCTGCTTTTCTGATGTATCAAATACTTATGTCATGCAATAAAATGCAAATGAATTACTTAAAAATCATACAATGTGATTTTCTGGATTTTTGTTTTAGATTCCGTCTCTCAAAGTTGAAGTGTACCTATGATAAAAATTACAGACCTCTACATGCTTTGTAAGTAGGAAAACCTGCAAAATCGGCAGTGTATCAAATACTTGTTCTCCCCACTGTATATATATATATATATATATTATATATATATATATATATATACATACACACACACACACACACACACACCATATATATATTTGAATAAAAACAGAGACATTCTGTGAGTCAGTCAGGCACACAGGCACTGAAAAAAACCAGAATGACATCACGCACCCAGACACAGCACAGAAATACATAAGCTACACGATAAGGCCCTGATACCAGGAAGGAAGAGAAACGCTTATAATCTATATAATCTATATCTACAGAGGGGTATAGCTCCGTTTTTAGAATGGTTTTTCCGATTTCACAATTCAATGATAAAGTGAGGATGAATTGAATTGAGCAGATAGAGGAGATGTTAGGGATCTATACAACTAGAACACCTGGGGTAAGAGCAGCTGGTAGATCTAACTAGAACACCTGGGGTAAAGCACTGGTAGATCTACTAAAACACCTGGGGTAGAGCAGCTGGTAGATCTAACTAGAACACCTGGGGTAAAGCAGCTGGTAGATTCTAACTCAGGAAAGCACTGGTAAATCAAGAACCTGGTAGATCTAATCACGAACACCTGGGTAAGAGCAGCTGGTACAGAGTCTAACTAGAACACCTGGGGTAGAGAGAGCTGGTAAATCTAATAGCAACACATGGGGTAAGCATCTGGTATATCTAACTAAACACATGGGTAGAGCAGCTGGTAGATCTAATGAACACTGGGGTAAGAGCAGTGTAGATCTAACTAGAAACCTGGGGTAAGAGCAGCTGGTAGATCTAACTAGAACACCTGGGGTAAGAGCAGCTGGTAGATCTAACTAGAACACCTGGGGTAAGAGCAGCTGGTAGATCTAACTAGAACACCTGGGGTAAGAGCAGCTGGTAGATCTAACTAGAACACCATGGGGTAAGAGCAGCTGGTAGATCTAACTAGAACACCTGGGGTAAGAGCAGCTGCCTCATATGGTATAACAATGAAGTCTATTAGACGTTATCAAAGATGAATTTCCTCGTGTTATTGAAGAAGAGAAATGGCAAACTGTGAACGTTTTGATGATCAAGTTGCCAATGCAGCCAACCAGAAGAAGTATGATCGAAGGAAGGGGTTTATATCAGAATACTATTAAAGAAACACCTGTTCCCTAATAATGCACAACAAATCCACCCCCTATTTCCAAGTATTTTCGATGCTTGTACAGGCGTGTACATCGAGAGTGCCTCGCAGGGATCCAGCAGTCAAGGTTGTTGTCTAGCAAGCGCAACAAACCAAACCAACCTTGCAATCGAACATGTTCCCTGAATTTCAACATCCTGTGCACCTTGACCTCCAAGTCGCCAACAAATGGCTCAAATCGAAAACATAAGGGCGGCTGTGTGAAATATCCCGGAGCCAGAGACATTCTATAATGGGCAGGCTATCCAGTGTGTGCAAGTGGGAGGTCTTGATCCTCATGTGTGGTTAAAGCAGCCCGGTGTCCGTTTCTAGACGATATGTAATGACTGAAACAGAGTGGGTCGCTCCTAAAACTGCCTGAAGAGACTAGCTACATACACCATTTATTATATGACCGCTCCAGTCAGTCAAGTGAAATATCCTCTGAAATATTAGCAATTAAAAAAAAATACAATGAAGTACCAGAACATGTCTACTATGGAATGAAATGTATAAAAAATTAAGTATTTTAACACAGTTTGAGGATTTTAAGTGGGAAAAGATGGGGCTTGTGTTACTTGAGGGATTGTCATAAATGACATAATTGACTGTCCTTTGTTTGTTGCAATCTTGCTACAGCACTATGAAGAACTGCTACAGTACTATGAAGTCTATTCTTCTCTGCCTTCTTAATGCAGTGAGACTATCTACTCAGAGATCAGTGGGTAGAAGTCTTACTGTGTCTCGCCAATGTCTCCAGAGTCCAGAGACTGCAAAGTATCATAAGACCAGAGCAGCATCACAAGATTGTCATATCATATTTTAAAATTCTTAAGCGATATCCGCAGGCTCTCTCAGAGTGTACCTTTGTGAACATGAGCAGTAGGCTAAAAATAAACGTTGATCCATTACGTTCACTTGGGTGTGTAACAGTACGTGTGTGAAGTCCTGGGAAACTCAAACTATCCCCAAAAAATGTCTGTCTGGACACACCACACAAGTCAGGCATTCACTGGAATCTTCCTCCCACAGACACATACACACACTCACTCCCCTCACACACACACTAACTCTCCTCACACACACACACACACACAAACACACAGAAGCACATGCCAACTCACAGAAAAACATGATGGAGTCCTTCATGTCCACACACACACAGTCCACTCACACACACACATGACATATGACCATTTGAGAGAGAGAACAAAGGTGCCAGCCATTATTTTTGTATTTTTATAATGACAATATTCGAATCCGGGGACATCCAATTGATATGGATAGTGAGACAAAGATTGCTAAGAAATAATTTAAACCAGAGGCTGGTAACAGCGCCGAGTCACGTATGGCCCTTTTTCTTTTGGGGTTATTAGATCATATGTTTTAAAACTCCCAAACAGTGCACATACTGTACGATCCATGTGTGCAATATATGTTTGGCAGGCGTTCCCTTAATACAATAAACGTTTATTTCTGTACACAAGGAAATCGCTAAATGGTTGTGCCACTTTACAAATTACCTGTGTACGCCAGTAAATAAATCACACACAAAAATGTTGAGAAAAGCGTTCAAAACAACAAATAACTATTACATACATTGAAGGGATACGCATCATCAATTTAATAACTCATAGAGTTATAGGGATAATCTACCCTAAAACCAACATCCATCCTAAAACCTAAAACCAGATTGATGTTTTCAATAAGTCATTTCTGGTCAATACTAAGATGTGAAATAAGTCAACACCATTTTACAAATGAGCTCAACTAAAAACAGCGAGTAACAGAGCAGTTTATTCTCCCCAAGTCAAAAAACATTAGTTCAGACTGCACACAATGCGCTATAAAAAAAATGGAGGGTTATAAAAGCGTTATTTTCATGGACGTGTAGTCCATGAATATAATGTTTCCGGTTGGGATGTATTTATTACAGTGATAAAAAGACTACACTTCCCCATGAGGCCTCTCTCCATAGGGGTCCAGTCACTTTGATGACTCAAGTGTCCTACTAAGAGACAAGCCTTAAACCCCGGCTGGCCTAGGTTTCAATGCAGAGAATGGTCCAGTTCCTGCCAGACGACATTGCAGACGCATGCCAGATCTTACACGCCTGGAAAGGTGTTTAACATATCAGCTAACCACATCATATGATATAGCAATCTGATGACCGACTGCACAGTCAATGATATGGCACGCAACCATTGGTGGACGCAATACAATAATTACAATGCCTTCAGAAAGTATTCACACCCCTCGACTTTTTCCCCATTTTGTTGTGTTTACAAATTGGGATTAAAATTGATTTAATTGTCTTTATTATTACTTTTTTTGATCTACATAAAATACTCTCTAATGTCAAAGTGGAGGAAAATTAAAAAAAATTCAAAAGATTAATGAAAAATAAAACATGAATATATATGGATGGACCCTACACGACATACCCCACATATACGTTATACTACTGATGGGTGGTTCTGGTAATTGTAGTTTCTGTAGTTATGAAAGACAAACAGATACCCACTAACCCACGCACTGTCGAATGCCAACAAACTCCAGAGCATATTTACCTGTACGTCGTAGGTGCCGTTAAGTAACAAGCGTGGGGACCCTGTAGAGTCCTGTAGCGCCCCGGTTAGGGCGGCGTGTGACGGGGGCCGTGCAGCATCTTTGGCATGTTGGCTCTGTGGGGAGAAGCCCACCATGTTGTGCAGGGCCAGTATCTTAGTGTCCAGCTCTGCGTCCTGCCGCGTGCGGTTGTGCAGGCCCAGGTGGTACTTCCGGAAGTGCTTGATCAGGTCCGTGGGGTCGTTCCCGTAGTAACCGTACCCACAGATGTTGCACTTGAAGTCCTGCAATTTGGGAGAGGAGGGCGGGGCTACCCCTGTCTCGGCCCCCAGGGGGCTGGGCGTGATGTTCTCGGCCCCCTCGCCTGCCCCCTTGTGTGGGTGGAGGGGGCGTAGCAAGGGATATCCAGAGCCCTCCACCCCGTCCTGGTGGCCTGAGAGCCCCCCTTTGAGGCTGTAGAAGGGGTCCTTGTCCTCCCCGTTACTGGTGACGCCCTGGACGATGACGCCCCTCCCTCGGGCGCCCAGCAGCAGCCCCTCCCTGACACCCACCCTTTCTCTCCCTCCTCCCTCCCCGGCCTCCACCCTCTCCCCCAGCAGCAGCTCCCCCGCCGGGCTGCGTGCCTGTCCCCCGTCCCCCTCATCTGGTTCTGATCTGAGCGGAGACAGAGACACAGCCCCGTCGGGCCGGGCCCAGGATGGGAGCGCCGGCAGATCTGAGTCTGTCACCTCGTGGCAGGGGAAGGACGCTACATTTCCTCCCTTCTTGTGGCTAGGGTAATTAAAGCCAGGCCTGTCGCTGTTGACTGTCGCCACTGTTCCCACTCCTCCGCCGCCCCTCCCTCCTCCGTCCCGTTTGATGGAGCCTGAGACAGAGCCCGGGGAGGAGGAGGGGTCTTCCTGCTCGTCTGGGACCGGCACGTGGGCCCGGCCCGGTTCGGCCGGCAGCAGCCCGTCGCCACCGTTGGGCTCTGAGGCCCGGCTCCCAGCACTTTCCTCGCTATCCGGCCCGGTGGCCTCCGCGGCCAGAGCCTCACCTTCTCCTTCTTCCTCACCACCGAAGCTTCTCAAAGGGGGGTTCTTTTTCCGCACCATATCTGCAGGCAGGCAGCACAGACAGACAGACAGAATGTTTTAGTGTCACACTTCCTTGAGGAATAGGTACATTAAACACAGGCATAGAGGAATAGCCTCCCCATGTAAATAGACTCCCCATGTAACTGCATGCAATGGCGGAGGGAAAATGATGAAGTGAACTGGATCTCTTTTCAAGAACCACATAAATTGAAGGCTGTATCAAATAAGATGGAGAGAGTGGTAGTTCTGTTTTTTTTTCTCTCTCTCTCTCTCTCTCTCTCTTACAATCAGCGCATAAAAACGTTCAAGAGTTCCTCCATTAAATACAACAAAGCTAAAAAAGACGGTCTTTTTTTTTTGTACAACTTAAAACAATGGCGGCCGTTCAGCTCTGGCCCATAAACAGAACCCATGCTCTATAACCAGCAACAACGCCAGTCGCTGAACGTTGTTGATGGCATTTTGATCAATAAAATCTGCGTGCCTATAGTTAATGACAAGGCTTGTCAAGTGGCAGTTTAAAGTAGTCGAATGTTAAGTTAGAAGGAATGCATAAACTGATCATAGAGTCAAATTACTGTCTATGTGTATGTCTAGCAGAGAATGGGGAGGAAATAAAACAATCTATTAAGTTGGATTTGCTACGGTTCAAACTGAATTAAAGGAATGTGTAGGACGGAGCAATTTTCAGAGTTTGTTTCAGTGTGTGTGTGTGTGTGTGTGTGTGTGTGTGTGTGTGTGTCTAAATTCACTAAACCCCAATTCTCTCCATCCAGGGTGCTTAGAATTCCTCATAATGCCAGTCTCATTTCTTCTCCAGTGGAACATATGGAGAGTCATTTCCCAATTTAGGTTGTAAAGAAAATGAGTATTGAATAAAGCAATGTATGTTTGTAAGGGGCAACGCCTAAACCAGTGTTTGTAAAAGCTGTAGGAAAAATCTGAACCAACAGCTCCAACAGAAATCTCACCAGTCACCCCACCCTGTTTCGATCATTACCAAGTCACTGTTGGATCTCTCCCATCATTCTGCCCCAATTAGAATTTTACAACTACAAAGCATGTTATTAATCAAAATAAATGAATTAACTCTTGATTATTAATGAATAATTGGCCTAGTGTTTAAAAGGCATTATTTTTAACTTGTTCTCTGGGTCTATGACTTCAATGCAGCAGAAACACACTTTTAATAAACGTCTTACAATCCGCTACCGACAGACTTTAACCCCCGAAAACTAACACTTACAAGAGTTGAAATTAAACTGGGCTGAAAACTATGGGGATTGTGTAAATGTATCCCAGAGCTTTCCCAAGGCCTCATTATCAAATCACACCCCTCAAAATGGCTTGAAATCATTAACCTCTACTAAAATTAGCCCAAAGACTAACTCCAAAACTAGAACACAAAACACAAGAAAGAGAGTGTACCTGACGCACGTTAGCCCGGCTTCAACAAGAAGGGGAAAAAGGTCTTCCAGCAAACAAAGGAATCAGCATTCAACAACAAATCAATGTTTCACTATAGTGAAAGTAAGGAAAATGCCAGCTGATCTGTGTTCAGAAGAATACCAGAGTACTAGTGGGTAACAAAATAGTCCATCTCATCCCACCCCCAACACGGAGCAGAAGAATCGTCGGGATTTCAACTTTCAATAAACTTCGGATCAATGTAAACCCTCCCCAAAAAATTTGATATCATCCTTAATCACATCTCAGACAAAATAATCTTCTAAAGTACTGTTTATTACCTGGCCCAGAAGCACTGTTCATTACCCAGAAGCACTGTGTCTGGCTCTTTTGTAATTTCACCAGGAAGCAGTGACCGCAGAGCTTTAGTGGTTCCATTGCTCAACAGAGGAGTGTGATTTAGCATGAAATGTCTCCCGACTCATAAAATATAAACGTTTTTTATCCCTGATATGTCATACAATTACATTAAAACTTCAGGGGAAAGGGCGGGACGTCACCATTCCAATCCCCCGTAAAAAGACAGAATAATCGGGTCATTTAGTTCCCAGGCATCTGCACTGTTCCTGTTCCTCCTCAGCCGCCCTTACCTTCCTCCACCCCCACAACCACCCTTTCTCTTTATATATAATGGTGTTCCTCGTCTGTTATTGTGCTGACCTCAAGAACTTACTTAGTATGGGTATATAGCAGAGGAATCGACAGACAGTGGGGCGGGATCTGAATACAGAGCAGTAGGTTTGGGCTATGGCTCCAGGTTTTTATTTCTAATCTTTACCTCTGATGCCATGACTTCTAATGCAACCGCCTAGTTAGTATAAAGACCCTACTGGTGAACAGTAATTAAATGTGATCAGAAAATCTAACATAGGCCTAGATACCAGCACATGGAAAAGCCAGCAAAGCGGTGCAACACTGGTTGAAATATGCAGACATTAATATGTAAAGTGTGAACAAACAGTACAAAGACTTGTATAGTGAGTTAAGTTTATCTACGATAATCGAGAATTTCAATGAGCACTTTGCTACGGCTGGCCATGCTTTCCACCTGGCTACCCTTACACCGGCCACCAGCTCTGCATTCTTATTGGCAGACTAAATAGCCTTGGTTTCTCAAATGACTGCCTCGTCTGGTTCACCAACTACTTCTCAGATAGAGTTCAATGTGTCAAATCGGAGGGCCTGTTGTCTGGACCTCTGGCAGTCTCTATGGGGGTGCCAAAGGGTTCAATTCTCAGGCCGACTCATTCTCTGTGTATATCAATGATGTCGCTCTTGCTGCTGGTGACTCTCAGATCCACCTCAACGCAGACGACACCATTTTGTATACATCTGGCCCTTCATTGGACACTGTGCTAACAAACCTCCAAACAAGTTTCAATGCCATACAACACTCCTTCCATAGCCTCCAACTGCTCCTAAACACTAGTAAAACTAAATGCATGCTCTTCAATCGAACACTGCAGCTTACCGATCACCGCACCTGTACACAGCCCATCTGTAATTAGCCCACCCAACTACCTCATCCCCATATTGTTATTTATTTAGCTAATTTGCACCCCAGTATCTCTATTTGCACATCTTCTTCTGTACACCTATCACTCCAGTGTTAATACTAAATTGTAATTATTTTGCACTATGGCCTATTTATTGCCTTACAGTGAGGGAAAAAAGTATTTGATCCCCTGCTGATTTTGTACATTTGCCCACTGACAAAGACATGATCAGTCTATAATTTTAATGGTAGGTTTATTTGAACAGTGAGAGGCAGAATAACAAACAAAAAAATCCAGAAAAACGCATGTCAAAAATGTTATAAATTGATTTGCATTTTAATGAGGGAAATAAGTATTTGACCCCTCTGCAAAACATGACTTAGTACTTGGTGGCCACCAGGTTTGCACACATCTCAGGAGGGATTTTGTCCCACTCCTCTTTGCAGATCTTCTCCAAGTCATTAAGGTTTCGAGCCTGACGTTTGACAACTCGAACCTTCAGCTCCCTCCACAGATTTTCTATGGGATTAAGGTCTGGAGACTGGCTAGGCCACTCCAGGACCTTAATGCGCTTCCTCTTGAGCCACTCCTTTGTTGCCTTGGCCGTGTGTTTTGGGTCATTGTCATGCTGGAATACCCATCCACGACCCATTTTCAATGCCCTGGCTGAGGGAAGGAGGTTCTCACCCAAGATTTGACGGTACATGGCCCCGTTCATCATCCCTTTGATGCGGTGAAGTTGTCCTGTCCCCTTAGCAGAAAAACACCCCCAAAGCATAATGTTTCCACCTCCATGTTTGACGGTGGGGATGGTGTTCTTGGGGTCATAGGCAGCATTCCTCCTCCTCCAAACACGGCGAGTTGAGTTGATGCCAAAGAGCTCGATTTTGGTCTCATCTGACCACAACACTTTCACCCAGTTCTCCTCTGAATCATTCAGATGTTCATTGGCAAACTTCAGACGGGCCTGTATATGTGCTTTCTTGAGCAGGATTTCAGTCCTTCACGGCGTAGTGTGTTACCAATTGTTTTCTTGGTGACTATGGTCCCAGCTGCCTTGAGATCATTGACAAGATCCTCCTGTGTAGTTCTAGGCTGATTCCTCACCGTTCTCATGATCATTGTAACTCCACGAGGTGAGATCTTGCATGGAGCCCCAGGCCGAGGGAGATTGACAGTTATTTTGTGTTTCTTCCAATCTCAGCTCGTTACCTGTATAAAAGACACCTGGGAGCCAGAAATCTTTCTGATTGAGAGGGGGTCAAATACTTATTTCCCTTATTAAAATGCAAATGAATTTATAACATTTTTGACATGCGTTTTTCTGGATTTTTTTGTTGTTATTCTGTCTCTCACTGTTCAAATAAACCTATCATTAAAATTATAGACTGATCATTTCTTTGTCAGTGGGCAAACGTACAAAATCAGCAGGGGATCAAATACTTTTTTCCCTCACTGTACCTCCATAACTTACTACATTTGCACACACTGTATATAGATTTTTTATTGTGTTATTGACTGTATGTTTTGTTTACCCCATATGTTTACCCCATTGTTTTTAATCGCACTGCTTTGCTTTATCTTGGCCAGGTCGCAGTTGTAAATGAGAACTTGTTCTCAACTGGCTTACCTGGTTAAATAAAGGTGAAATAAAAAAATAAAAAAAGTCAACTGAGAAACTCCTTCAGTTTAAAGCCTGATGAATGAGATTGACACTCCTTTCCTAACCCTCTCCATGACAGGCCTTTCATAAGACATAGGTCACGTCTGAAATGGCACCCTATTCCATTATTTAGTGGGCTACTTTTCACCAGGATCTATGGGGCTCTGGTCAAAAGCAGTGCACTATATAGGGAATAGGGTGTGGTTTGGGACGTAGGCATATAAATAGCAGATGGGAAGAAGAGGCTTGCCTATCCTGAACACAAAGGTGTGTTTGTATACCCATCCAACCAGCTCATTGAGATAGTCTACTACTAACCCATCCAACCAGCTCATTGAGATAGTCTACTACTAACCCATCCAACCAGCTCATTGAGATAGTCTACTACTAAC